GCGCCGCCGTGGCGCCGCAGCGCGGCGGCGAGCGCGGCGCCGGCGGCCCCGCAGGGCGCGGCGCCGCCGGCGAGCAGCCAGGCGGCGGGGACGGTGAGGCAGGTGGTGGACGCGGCGACGGCGTCGCGGGCGGCGGAGAAAGAGGAGGCAAGCGCCGCGCGGTCATCGGGGTCGCGGAGGCGCGCCGCAATGGCGGCGATGACCTCTGCAGGCAGTGCCGCGAAGTCTGTGGGCGGGGCTGCTGACGTGGAGGGCTGCGGCGGCTGCTGCAGGGTGGCGGCGGGCGCGGCGTGCGGCGCCGCGGGGGCCGCCCAGGCGGCGGCCGCGGCGGCGGGGATTGGATTGCGGTGCAGCGGGCCGCGGGCGGCTGCGGCGGCGGAGGCGCAGGCGTCGGCGCCGGCGCGGGGCATTGTGTGGCCGCCGTCAACACCGCCGACCACAGGGCAGTTGGCGCCATGGACGAGGAAGCCGGCGGCGGAGGCGCCGCGCGCCGAGCGGCCCTTGCCGGCGCACGTGCCCCTCTTGCTGCCACAGCACGCCGATGCGGATCGATGCCTGGAGCAGCCGCTGCCGTCGTGCCCGCCGCAGCGGGAGCTGGCCGACCCGCCAGCACCATACCCGCCGCCCATAGTCCGGAGCGGCGTGCGGGCGCGACGGATGATGGTACGCACTGCGAGGCAATCGCGTGGGGTACTTTCACGACCGCTGCGCCTCATACTACGTACACCAGGGCCGCGGGTTATTTCCCGGGCCGCGCTCAAGGCCGACGTCGAGGCAGGCTCTAATGATGTCGGGTGACCTAAAAAAAATATTTGTGAACAGAGAGGGCCGGTCTGAAGGTGCCAACGCGCACAAAAAAATTGGCTCACGGGCCACTATTGTCGGGAACAGAGCTATATATGGGAGAGCTCGCCGTCAAAAGAGCAAAAAGGGTACTGCGATACGTGAACGGAATGCCCGCTGTTCTGTTTCGACAATGCTGATGACCCCTTCGTGCTGCTCGCACCGAGGCTCCTTCCCAGGTTCTGCGCTTCCACGGCCACCCGTTATGCTCCACTAACCCCGCGTGAACGATTATGAGGATCACATGGATTGCGCGGAACTCCAATCGCACATTACCAAGCGTCCCGCACAAGGGCAACGGCATGGGACCTGCTCGGCCGGTTGCGTGCCACGGTTTGTTGTGGCTGACTATGGGGGCTGCTTCAAGCCTGAATCGACAGCAATTTATGCAATGTATCGATTTGATGACGTGCGCAGTCAAGAGAGGCCACGGCGGCCGCCCAGGCGTGCAAGCGGGGTGCATTTGGTTCGCCCGCCCGTGGGAATAATGGACGACTCGTAATGAGGGTCGCAGGAGGAGGCTGACGTGCATGACAGGGCTCCGCATTTACCTGTCACACTGCGATTAACCTGGCACCCGCTTCCTCTGTGTCTTGGGCAGCACTGTGTCCCACTGCCCGGCTTGCTTGCTGCGCGCAATCATCACCCCTTCAAGGTTGGTTTATCCCAGATTGCAACGTCCCTGCCCAGCCCTGCCAGCGTAAGATTTTTCTTGGAAGGTAGCGTGCTGTGCAATTGAACCCTGTACAAGCTGCCAAACGTCGCGGTGTAGGGACTTTGGCGGTGATGAGTCGCAACCTGTGGCGGCCGCAGGAGAATCATACGCCTGGTGGGTGTAGACCTCGCGTGGAGCGTCCAAGGAGCTGGTGCAGGACACGCTTGTCACGACTTGCATTATTTTCAAGTTTGGTGGCTGTCCAAGCGGCTGTGCTGCCAATTACGTAGCGGGTGTCCACTTTGCCGCTCCCAACTTTCCTGTGTATAGCACAAACCAGAAACAAATTTACGTAGTTCAACTATTTTTTCAAAAATGCAAACGTCCGTGATCCCACATTCATGCCGCGCAAGACGATCTCCGAACTCCGGACTTGCGAGCATCAGTACGTGAGCCACGAGCGGTAAACAGTCCCTTATCTAGTATTCAACAAGTGGCATCCTCCCTATAGCCTGGCGCGGGCGGTCAACCCCGCTTGACTGTCCGGGGTGCGCGTGCACCAGGGCGCGCGCACGCCCTCCGCCTGATCAGCGCACCCGACAAGGGCCTGGCAAAAAACCCGGTGGCCGGCCGCCTAAAGATGCGGCATGGACACAGATTGGATGCTGGTGCTGCGTTGGGACCGCGGGACCAGGCAGCAGCGGGCCCGCTGCTGGTGGTACCGGACGCCCGCGCCGCAGGCGCCGCCGCCGGGGCGTGCGCGCCTTTCAGGTTTGAGAGCAAGCGCTGCCGCATCGATTGGCGGCTCCTCCACAGCGTTGACGTCAACAGAGTGGTGAGCGCGGGGCCGGAGCCGCCACGAGCAGCTGCGCAGCTCCTTTTCTGCGAGGCCGCCGCGCCTCAGAACCCCCAGCCCCACAGCAGTGCACCTGAGGCAACTCCGCCGCTCTGCTCGGCAAAGCAGCCGTCACCCCGAGCGTGCACGAGAGTACGGCCGCCATTTGAACGGCAAACACCGCCAGGTGCGCGACACCGACGTGGACGCCTTGGAGCGCGTCGCCGCCGCCGTAGCATGGGGCGACCTGGAAGCCGAGGAGCCCCGCCACCTCAGCGAGTTGAACTTTGTGAAAGCGTTCCGGCTGGCGCAGCTGCTCGTGGAGTACCTGCTGCACGTGCAGGTGGTGGGGCGCAGGGGGCGGGTCGGGTCGAGGAGGGAATTGTGGGAGTCAAAGGGGCCGTCAACCACATCACATGCGGGCCGGCAGGAGCGGCTGCGCGCGGGCGACTCCAAGGGGCAGGGGCGAGAGAACGTTTGCACGCAAGTGCCGCGGCGGGATGCAGCAAGGAAGGGAACAAGTGCTGGCGTTGGGTTTCGGGACGCGGCGCCCATTGACAAGGTGCCCCCGCGCCACAAACAACTCCCCCCCCATGCTGTCGCCACCAATCACCTCCTTGCCCGCCCATGCGCCCGCTCTCCGGTGCAGGACACCTTAGCGAATGCCAATGGCGCCCTGGAGCGGGACGCCGCGGCGTCTGCGGCGCACGTGTCGTGCCTGCGGGCGCGGCTGCAGGAGGTGATGGCCGAGCTGAAGCACGCGCGCAACGAGCTGCGGCGGGCGCGAAAAAGCGTCAAAACCTACGAGCTCCTGGCAGAGGCCCGCGGCGGCCCGGGCGGCGGCGCTGTTCCTCCTGCGGTTGCGGCGGCGCCAGCAGCAGCGGGGACAGCGGGGGCCGTGCTCCATTGCTGTGTGGAGCCGCGGGACGGCGGCAGCGCGGCAGGCGTGCAGGCGGCCGCGGCGGCAATTGTTGCGGAGGCGGTGCAGCTGATGCAGCAGCAGCAGCAGCAGCAGCAGCAGCAGCAGCAGCAGCAGCAGCAGCAGCAGCAGCAGCAGCAGCAGCAGCACCAATTGCAGTGGCAGTCGCCGCATCAACACCAGCAGGCAGCGGACCACACCGCGGAGCGGCTGGCGTCGGTGGCTGCTGAGGTGGAGCGGCTCAGGCGGGAGCGGGAGGATCTGTCTCACCAGATCAGGCGCATGAGGGACGTGCTTGAGGCCAAGCTGGCTGGTGCAGGTGAGCTATTTGAAGTGGACATGGTGCTTTGTGTGGAGCTAGTGAGTGCAGGTGTGTGCATCCGGGCGGGGTGTGGTCACAGCTTATGTTCGTGTCGTCAGCACAGACATGGTGCGCACAACCAAGGCAGCTGCTGGCTAGGTGCTGGGGACAGAAGTGCACGAGGGATGTGACGGTCTGTCTGGGCAACAAAACGTATAGTGACGCACCTTGCACGGTGCCGCGTTGTGCCACATATGCAGGCAGCCCAAGGCCACGCGCGGACAGCCGCCCCGACGCCGCGGCCGCCGCGGCCGCCGCCGCCGAGGCCGAGCACGCCGCCGCAGCCGCCGCGCAGGAGCGCGCCGCCGCAGAGCGCCAGCTGCAGCAG